GTGTTGCTCCTTTCTGCCTCCCCTGCTCCCTCCCAGCAGCATGGTGGCCGCCTCCTCAGAGCTTAAAGGAAAGCCAGGTATGAGCCGGCGGTGATGGGGCAACTGCAGTCTCATGGGAATGGGGGCGGTACCGGCTCATCCTTCATGCCTGACCAAGGTCATGAGTTGCCCCCCACAAGTGACTCTCTGGCACAGCCATGGCACCAGAAGCACAGAAACCAATCTCGTAATTATCTGGCTCTTTGCAAAAATACAAAGCGGCCACACGACTTTATATGATTCTCATAACCAGCTATAGAAAACAAAGTATTTCACAATGCCTTTTCAGCAATTCTGATTGTTGGGGGGGGGGGGGGGGGTAGGAATCCTCAACAATAATGGTGCATCTTTTGTTGAAATAATGAATGTAATCATGGTGCATCTTTTGTTGAAATAATGAATGTAATCAATGTAGAGAAGAATTAAGTGGAAATCATCTGCCTCACAGGCATTGGGAGGGGTGAGAGGGGGGTGTGTATTGGGGTTCTTGGTGGTGAAAAATGAATGCTGGTGAAGGGAAAGGTGTTTGATCATTGTATGACCGAAACCTAAACCTGGAAGCTTTGTAACTTCTCCCACAGTGATTCAATAAATAAATATAAGAAAAATAAATAAAATTATGGAAAAAAAAGTAAGGTGGAGTTCATGCCCAATTCAATCAGCTAATCAGTGGCTGAATAAATAGCAGTACTCTTACATAAAAAAAAATACCATCACACCAAACTATGATAAATACGCCTGAAAATGTGTCAGGTTGGGAGGCAGCCTGGGGTGGTAGTAGTGGGGAAACCTGGGTCATTGGTGAAGGGATGCTGACACCAATGGTGGGATTGGAGTTGGAATTTGTATACCTGAACACTATTAATAGCTTTGTAAACCAAAGTACAAAAAACAAACAAACAAAACCTTCAAAGAGCCATCTAGAACAAAGTTCGACCCAAGAACTGGATACCAGAGTCCTACCAAGTTTGACCTGTAAAATCAACCACCTGCATTCTACTTTATGAACCTTAATTACTGCGAAGACAATCAGTCTGTGTATCAGAGAAGGTGTGGAGAAAGGGCCCCGGGTGTGACCCAACTCGTGTCCCTCAAAAAAGAATATTAAAACACATATTTGAAAAGACACATTTTTATGTTCACTCCAGCAATACTTATTAATAGTCAAAATATGAAAACAACCTAAATGCCCAACACCAGGTGAGCGGATGGAGATGCAGTATATATTCACAGAATACTCAGCTACAAAAAAGTGATGAAATTTTGTCATTTCTAGCAAAAAATGGAAATGAAGATTATGCTAAGAAAACAAGTGAGAAAGGGGAAGAAAAATACCAAATTACTTCACTTGTGTGCAATGAAAAGAAACAAATGGACCCCCCCCAAAAAAAAAACCTGAAAAACAAAACAAAATACCCTTGAATTCTAACTGCAGAACTAGGGTTACCAGAAAGAGGAGGAACTAAGCTGAAAGTAGAGGGTTACTATTACATTGGTGGTAAACATGGTGTAGGAACATACATTTGAGGAGGTGTGGACTTGGTATCTGTAAACATACACAGTGTTGTCTATCAGTGTTAACCCCAGTGATTTTGTGTGGGATTTTTGTTTGAGGGGCCACATCCAGAAGTGCTTAGGGCATCACATTGTATTTGGGACTGAATCCTAAACACTGCAGGCAAAGCATAAGTTCAACTTGTTGAACGAGCTCTACAGTCATTACCCCAATTAAAATAAAACCCACCAAAAAAGGCCAGAAGAACTTTCTTATGTGTATTTTGATGTGTGTACAATAAATTAGAACTGAAATAAGAAAAACTACCAGTTGGTTTTATAATACCAAAACCAAAATTTTTAAGGACAAATTTCATAAAATATATGCAACAACTATGCACAGAGAACTACAGAAACTGTTAAGGAAAACTGTGAAAAGCCTAAAAGCACAGAGAGAGAGATAGAACGTGCGCCTCAGCTGGAGGACCTGCACTCCTCAGAGAGCTATTCTTCCCAAATTGGGTACTGTAACATCAATGGAATAGAAATTCCAGAAGTTCTGAGTTCGCAAAACTGTAACATCAATGGAATAGAAATTCCAGAAGTTCTGAGTTCGCAAAAATGCGTGTCTAAAGTCAATATGGGGGCAGGGAAATAGTACAGCCGTTAGGGCATATGTCTAACACTCTCCTGGTCCACATTTGATCCTGGACATCACACGGTGGTCTGAGCACTGCTGGCTGGCTGGCTGCTTCCTGAGAGGTTCAGAGCTCCACAGGGGAAAGGTGCGGGGGGGGGGGGGGGGGGGGGCGGTGTGTGCTGTGTAATACCTAGCATCACAGGGCCTGAGGACAACCACATCCTCAATTCCTTGGACTGAACTGCCAGTTGGCTAAGAATCAACAGTGCTCTAAGCAATTAATATATATGGAAATGCAAAGGGCCTACATTTTCCAAATAATTTTGAAAAAAAAATTGTCCAACTTTTGTCAAAGTTAGAGGTCAAACCTTACTACAAAGCTAAAATGAGAGCAATGTAGCATTTTCAAAGAATGAACCTACAGAAAAACTGAATCAAAATACAGAACAAATCCCAATCACCACCTCTAATCATGTAACAAAATCGATCAGAGGGCTAAATATAAAGGTTTAAAATGGAGGTTCTCTAGAAGAAAAAACATAGAAAATCTTGTGAACTTGAGGTAAACAAATTTAAGAAATCAAAACCTTTTTTTCTCTATTTTTTGGGGGTCCACACTCAGTGCCAGGAATTAACAGTAATCCTCAGGGATTACTCCTGGCTCTGAGCTCAGGAATTAACTCCTGACAGTGCTCCTGGGATGCCAAACCCAGATCTGCTCCATGCGAGATAAGAGTCCTACCCACTATACTATCACTCTAACCCCTTAAAAGGAAATACACTAAACTCCCCAATTAAAAATTTTGTATTCTTCAAGGTATACACACTTGGATAAAGCAATTTTAAAATCATGGGCCAGATTTATTTATTTATTTATTTATTTAATTTCTTTTTGAGTCACACCCGGAGATGCACAGGGATTACTCCTGGCTTTGAACTCAAGAATTATTCCTGGCGGCGCTCGGGGGACCATCTGGGATTCTGAGAATCAAACCTAGGTCGGCTGCATGCAAGGCAAATGTCACTTCAGCTCCAGTCCAGATGTTTTAAAAATAAAACTTTCACCTGGAATATATAGAGTGCTTATAACTCAGTAACAAGATAACTCATTTTTAATTAACATAAGATCTGAACAGACATTTCACAAAAGAAAATGAGTGTGAAAAATGCCCAGTATCTAATGTACATACTTAAATAAAAGAATAGAATGAGAGAGAAATAATGAGACGCTGATGAAAGCATGAAGCAACTGAATCCCACACACACTGCTAGGGGGGGAAGGCTCAGTCACAGTTATTGTGGAAACACAGCATGCTTATAAGCATGGCAGTTTATTAGAAAGCTAAACTTTCCACTTCCTAAATGGTCCAGCAATTTCACTCCTTCATTAATTTACCAACAAGAAATGAAAGTGTTATATCCACACATTGACTTTCGTACAAATGTTATAGCAGCTTTATTTGTTAATACCCAATATGGGGGTGCAGACTGTGGTATATTCATACTCTTTAAAATCAGGAGCAAACTATGTAGACAAATCTTAAAAATCATTTTTGTTAAATGAAAGACACTATTCACAAATGATGAGTACATGGTGCCATTTTTATGTGTGGGAGCAAATAAGATATCGATACTGACAAGATTTCTTTCTTATGGATAATGATAAAAATCAGACCAATAGTTGCTCAAAAGAGATAGGGAATGAGTAAAAATGAAGTCACAGGTATAAAGAAAAACTTCTGAGGCAATGGAAATGTTCAATACCTTAGAGTGTTGCCTACAAGGATGCATCCGTTTCCCAAAACTCACTAAAGTTTAAACTTGAAGTTCGCTTTAAATTTAAATTTTATTGCATGTAAATTAAATTCCCTATACCTTTCTCAATGAGGTTACCTGAATTAGAAACCACCTGGACTTAAGTTTGATTTACATTGTTTCTTTCTCAGGTCAGGGATAGAGTGCTTGTCTTGAATATATAAGGTCCTGCATTCACTCTCCAGCACTACAAAATTTGAAAGTATCCATTGGGCAAGGGCTGCAGTTGAACAGCAGGGCACTTGTTTTGCATTTGTGAACCCTAAAGCTCAATCCCTAGCACAGCAAAAATATTTTTTCATTGTCGTCTAGTATATTCTATTATCTTGTTTCTTGTGTTCATAGTACCAAATTTCATGTCAGGTTAGCCCACATTAAATCATCACAAAATTCCAAATTAGAGAATTCACTTAATGAAGCTGAAAACTTTCAGTATAAAGAATTCAAAATTTTTCATAGCCACGGGAATAACCGAGTTATACATGTAAGTTATATTGTATGAGAAATCTACTCACCTATACTTAAAAATAAGCACAATTCATCATTTAAAAATAGTATATTTGTGCTTTAACAAAATAAAACCATCTATCCACGCAAAAATTGTAGAAAATGGTACAAGTGTATGAATTAGTAAAAGTCTAAGTGCCCTCAATCCTTCCATAACCAAGGGAGATAAAATAATTCATTGGCTATTTTATCTCATTACAGTTACTACCACGGGCTGAAGCAATAGCAGAGCGGGTAGGGTGTTTGCCTTGCCAAGCTGGGTTCGATTCCTCCATCCCTCTCAGAGAGCCCGGCAAGCTACCAAGAGTATCCCACCCACACAGCAGAACCTGGCAAGCTCCCCATGGCGTATTCGATACGTCAAAAACAGTAACACCAAGTCTCACAATGGAGACATTACCGGTGCCCACTCAAGCAAATCGATAAACAACAGGAGGACAGGGCTATAGTGCTACAGTGCACTGTGAGTAGCCAGATCACAAAACACACAGTGAAACAAGGCAAAGAAAAAATGGTACAATTTTGTCTTTAGGTCTTTTTTAGAGCATTGTCTATAAGAGATGGTGTCTTCTCTCAGCCACCTGAGGAAATGTTCACAGAGAGGTATAAATAGTGGTTATTATACCAGAAGTTGGATCCGAACAAACTTTAAAAAAATGCAGATGATAAGCCAATTAATCTCATGATATTTATTGTTGCATAAATAACTCTCAAGTATTTTCAAATCATTCTTTCTCATCAAATCTATCATTCAAAAGCATCAACTTAAAATGGTAAAGAAAAATAATTATTTTAGTGTATGAGTATGATCTGTTAAAATGATTTTCATAAAGCAGCATTTTCATTGTTCTTCGGTCTCCTGCTATGGCAGCATTATTGTCCTATGAGGACATCAGCACACATACACACATGGTCAATCTAATATCTCCGTGATGACCCTCTGATTGCATCTGCACGATCACTTCCAGGTCAGATGGAATGAGCTATTTTCAACAACAATACCCGGATATGAGGTCAGACCACCCAGCTATTCCTAGGAATCGGATTGCTGGACAATTTAAATTCTAGGAAACACAGCAGATCACATGAAAGATTTATCTATTTCCTTTGATTTTTAGCTATAAAAAAAAAACTTCCAGAGGATCAAGCAAAAATATATTATTCTTTCCATTTCTTCTTCAGTATTTGTAGTGTCCAGGAGTCTGGCAACGATCCATCAAGACAGGAATCGGCTCTGAACCAAAACCAGAAGAAAGAAAATACAAAGCAGTATTCTCTGATGCTCCGTCAATTGTTAGCGTGAGACTTCCACGTGGAAGTTGTCAAACTGGGCGAATTCAAAGGAGTAAGTTCCAATTCCAGCCCAGCCATTCCTGGGGAAGTTGACTCGGATGTTTCTCCAGACAGGCTTGTCGTTCAATTTGCCAGAGCAGTAACGACCCTGGAGGAGAGGAAAATGCATCGCTTGAAAACAAGAAATGATCCTCTAAAGACTGGGTTGGGTTTTTTTTTAATTTCTTTATTTTGTTTCTGGTGTCGCACCCAGTGTTGCTCAGGGCTAACTCCAGGCGCGACACTCAGTGATCACTCCTGATGGGTTCAGGTACCACATGCAGTGTCAGGGATCAAATGCAAGTCTACACTCAGGGCTTATTCCTGGGTCTACACTCCTGATGGGCTCAGGGACCACATGCAGTGTCAGGCAGGGATCAAACCCAGGCCAGATACATGCAAGAAAAGCACTCTACTCACTGTACTATCTCTCTGGTCTCTAAGAGTTTTTCATATGTACGTGTGCGTGCATGTGTGTGTGTGTGTGTGTGTGTGTGTGTGTGTGTGCGTGTGTTTGTGTGTGTGTGTGTGTTTTGCCCATCTCCTTAAAGGAACAAATGTCCTCTCGGGACTTCCCTTAGCACAGTGAAACCACTTTCCCAAGTTGGAGCTAATGTTCAAACTACGGGGGGAAAAAAAGGCCTCCCCATAATTCTTATGTACTTACGTAAAGAGTTCCAAAGGGTGAAGAAGTGCCTCAAGATGGCTTTGTTTTTTGTTAGTTTGGGAGTGAGGGGGACACACCAGCTTTGCTCTGGGCGGTCCTGGCTCTGTGCTCAGGGATCACTCCTGGCAGTGCTCAGTGCCAGGGAGCAAACTGGGGTTGGCGTGTACAAGGCAAGAGTCTCGTCCCCTGTACTATCTCTCCAGCCCATCAATATGTCTCTGTACTCTTCCAAAATGTGTTTGAAATGATAGAAATATACAGATTTCATGACATGATGATATATTAGACAAAAGCCCACTCACATTTTAAAAAGTAAAATAAAAGTCTCTCTTATTCACCAACGGTTGCATGCATATGTTGCTGAGGCTAACAGTGACCAGTTTTTCAGACATAATTGCCGGAGTCAAACATCCACCTTGGCCTCCGAGTTTAGCTAAGGTCCCCATTAAGGGACCTTCACCCAGTTAGAAGCAAGGTAAGCAACTTTAGGAGTATCATGTGGTTCCCATGCACAGAACACCACACAGGAGGTGTGTGAAGAGCGTGCTCTTACCATGGGAGAGCAGTAACTGATAGTTAACTTGCGGACGGGAGTGGGGGAGATGAGTTAGGTTGGAAGGGAAGCATTCGGAGATACAATACACAGATAAAAGGTAAGGATAATTTTGATAGTGATAGCACAGCCCGTAGGGCATTTGCCTTGCATGTGGCTGACTCAGGTTCGATTCTTCTGTCCCTCTCGGAGAGCCCTGCAAGCTACGGAGTGTATGCTGCCCACAGGGCAGAGCCTGGCAAGCTCCCCATAGCGTATTCGATATGCCAAAACAATAACAATAACGGGCCTCACTTAGTGTTCCTGGAGTGAGCAGATGCCACCGGGCTATACTAGCACATGACAGGGATGACTAGAGATGTTACTGGTGCCCACTCGAGCAAATCGATGAGCAACAGGAAGACAAGTGATACAAGTGACACAAGCATTCCATAAGCCTGGCACGTGGCGCTTATCATCAGAGCAATCTGTGAGCATGTATTCACGGCATACCATTTACAGCCAGGCTTTAAAATGAGCTCACTTCAAAAGGCAAAAAGCTAAAGAACTCCAAGCACTAGGTCAAGAATTAAATGAAAATCTGTTTTTAGGGGCTGGGGAAAGTATTATAGCAGGTAGGGCACTTGACTTGCAAGTAGCCAAACCTGAGTTGATCTCCATATGGTCAGTCCCCAAGCCCTGCCAGGTGTGATCCTTGAGAGCAGAGCCAGGAGTAACCTCTGAGCACCGCCGGGTGTGGTCCAAAGTCAAACAAATATAATATGTTTTAATAAAATTAAAATCTACTTTTAAGTTGCAGAATTGTAACATAATAGGCCTTCACTTGGTTCTTTGGTTTTATGGATGGAGGCTATATAGGAGGTCCTCTTTTCATTTTTTTTCTTCTGAGCCTTACTGAGATTAAAAATCAGTCACAGAGTTCTTGGCAAAGTGAGGACTGAGTGCAAGCTGCTGACTCCACAGCCAGAGCCGCCTACATTTCTACCGTTATACACCTGCACAGCTAACGTCAGCTCTAAAATCACTCATGAATATCTTTTGTCACTTAGAGATCAGTACATACTATGGAGCAAAAAATCAATCTCTCTCTGACTCTCTGTCTCTGTCTTTCTGTCTCTATCTGTCTTCCTCTGTCTCTCTGTCTCTCTCCCTGTCTCAATCTCTCCTCTCACTAATGCTCATGGACATCTTTTGTCACTTAGGGACCAATGCATACTTCAGAGCAAAAAAGTCTCTCTCTCTCTCTCTCTCTCTCTCTCTCTCTCTCTCTCTCTCTCTCTCTCCCCTTGATAATGCTCATGGACATCTTTTGTCACTTAGAGACCAGTACATACTATGGAGCACAAAAACACTCTTTCTCTCTCTCTCTCTCTCTCTCTCTCTCTCTCTCTCTCTCTCTCTCTCTCTCTCTTTCCTCTTTCTCTCCCTCTCTCTCCTCTCTCTCCTTTTCCCCCCTCCTCTCTCTTTCCTCTCTCTCCTTTCCCCCTCCTCTCTCACTAAGTAAGTACAAAACCTAACTGATAGCACGCCCTGTGCCCTATGGGGTAGGTGGGGAGAATCCAGCCATCCTGGCTTCCGATTGAGGCTCACACAAGGCCAGTGGCCAACAATGACCTCTGTTTGGACATCTCTTCTCCTTCAGCTTTAAATTCTGATATCACCAACTTCAAAAGATCTCCCCTGACCTCTGGAACAGAGAGAATCGGGGTCTAGCTGCTTGCCTGGCCTGGGAAGTAAAATTGCCTCAACCATCCTTCTTTCAGGATGGTGTCTATTTATGTTCAAGTTCATATCTTAGATAGGGGACAACCCACAATGGCCCCCAGACCAGGCACCGGTGTGACAATAATAACTGGAAATGGTCACATTGGACAAGAGCTGAGTACTCAAAATAGATAAAGTGATATTCCTGATGACCTTTTAGTATCTGTATTGCACACCACAATGCCCAAAGGAAGAGAGAAAGATATCTTTCTTTTGAGAGGGACAGACATAGAAAGATTGCATTCATCTGGGAAACATGAAGTAACAAAATAGGAGACTAACACCCAAGAATAGCCGAGATAAGTACCAGGAGGTTTACTCCATGGCTTGGAGGCTAGCGCACACGCTAGGGGAAAAGGCAGCTCAGATAGAGAAGGGAGGACCAACTAAAGGGTGTTGGGAGGATACTCTCAGGATGGGAGACCCATGTTGAGAGTGGACCGAACATGATTGCCACTCAATGCCTCTGTTGCAAACCATAGCACCCAAAAGAAGGGAGATAACAAAAGGGAATGCCCTGCCACAGAGGCAGGGTGGGATGGGGAGGGGATGGGGGTGGAATACTGGGATCAGTGGTGGTGGAGAATGGGCACTGGTGGAGGGATGGGTGTTCAATCATTGTATAACTGAAACCCAAGCACAAAAAACTGTAAATCTACAACTGTACCTCATGGTGTTTCACTAATAAAAATTAAACAAGATATCTTTCTTTCTCTCTCTCATATATATATGACATATATACATACACACATACATATATATTATTGTCACTGTCACTATCCTCCTGTTGTTCATCAATTTGCTAGAGCAGGCACCAGTAACATCTCACAACAAATTGTGAGACTTGTTGTTACTGTGTTTGGCATATCGAATATGTCAGGGGGAGCTTGCCAGGCTTTGCCGTGCAGGTGAGATACTCTCGGTAGCTTGCCGGGCTCTCCAAGAGGGGCAGAGAAATCAAACCCAGCTCAGCCGGGCTGGCTGTGCGCAAGGCAAACGCCCTACCCGCTGTGCTATTGCTCCAGCCCAACAAATATGTGTGTGTGTGTGTGTGCATGTGTGTGTATGTGTGTGTGTATATATACGTGTGTGTATATATATATAATATATATACATAGAGAGAGAGAGAGAGAGAAGTAAAGCACCTGCCACAGAGGCAGGCTGGGGGCTAGACGGGAGAGGTGATAGGAGAGAACCTGGCACACTGGTGCTGGGAAATATATACTGGTGGAGGGATGGGTGTTGGAACACTGTATGACTGAAACCCAATCATGAGCAGCTTTGTAAGGGTCTATCTCACAGTGATTCAATTAAAAAAATAAAAACTAGTGGAGGAGCTCTGGAGATAGCGCAGGGGGAGGGCACTTGCCTTGCATAGGACCAACGCAATGCCCCATATGGTTCCCAAAGCACTAGAAGTAAGCTCTGAGCATTGCTGTGGTGGCCCAAAAACCAAACACACTCCAAAAAAGTTTGGTTTTTGTTTTTAAAACCACCAGTGTCCCACTCATTCACCAACTGTCCACGGCTGCTTTCTCAATACAAAGCTGAGTTGAGCTGGAGTTGAGCTGGCCACAACACAGCCCACAAGGCCTAGAACAAGTGCTCTCCGGCCCTCCACAGAACATGCCTGCCAACTGCACTACAGGGAGAAAACAGCCCAAAAGAGCAGTGGGCCTCGATCTCCCAATCACTATTGGGTCTTCTGCACGAGGGCGCGCTGTTGACGCTGCTTCATAAAAGTGTGTCCAACAGACATAGAAGAACTGCACTCATTTGCGGAATATAAAACAACATAATATGAGACTGACACCCAAGGACACGAGGCCCAGGAATATTGCTCCATGGTTGGTAGCCTGTCTCATGAGCTAGGGGAGAAGGCAGCTGGAATAGAGAAGGGATCACTAAGATGGTTGGAGGAATCATTTGGGATGGGAGATGTGTGTGCTGAAAGTAGATAAAGAACCAAACTTGATAGTCTCTCAGTATCTATATTGCAAACCATAATGCCCCAAAGTAGAAAGTGTGGGGGAAATTACCATAGAGACAGAGGGAGGGGTGAAATGGGGGGAGGGATACTGAGGACTTTGGTGGTGGAAAATGTGCACTGGTGGAGGGATGGGTG